CTGGATGCACTGGATGTCTTTGCCTTAGCAGGGCACACAGGGACATGAGGCCTCCTGGGCTGAGAAGAGTCTTCCCCAAAGGAGCTGAATTTGCGCAGTGGGTCCCAGGAAGACTGAGGACCTTCGTGTTAATGCCAGATTATTTGTCAGAGAGCTCATAGAAAGGACTCAGCCAAGGAGGAATTGCACTAGGATCAGCAGCTGCTGTAGAAGGAGGAACAAGAGGCAGGGTTGTGTGCCCACGGGAGGGCAGTGAGCTGGCGCTGGGCAGAGACAGGGTAACAGGGCTGCCGGAGCAGAGGCAAGTAAACATTAAGCTGTCCAGCTTTTAATCTTATTCAACAGCTCTACCTGGTGTACTGAACGCTCCAGGGATCCAACCTTCCCTCAGACTATTTCCATTATATTTACTGTGGTTTTGTCTTTGGTTCAAAGAACATAATAGCAGCAGAAAATGGAGTCTCTCCATAACGTCTTTGGGGCCTGGGGAAGACAGAGTCCCCAAGCACCTGAGGGAAAGACAGCAGTGAACCCCTGCCCCTATTTACTTCACTTCCTGAGTTTTTCCCGGCCAGAGGAATGCTCCAAACCTTGCTCCATGAACGCAAGCAGATTGTCTCTGAATGCATTCCACTAGAAACCACGGCTACAATTCAGAAAGATTTGTTCTTGGGCACTGATCCTTCCTCCCACCATTCTCATTTATCTTACTGATGCTAATACCATACTTCAGACTTTATGTTTTAATGACAAACAAATATCAGTGCTCTTAGAGGCTGGGAGTCCCCTGTGTGTCCATCTGCACAGATACCCGCAGTGGCATCCACCCATGGGCTGCTTGGAGGCCTTGACCATCTTGGTTAGCAATCTTGGGATTCAATTCGGTGGATGCTCTCAGATGTCAGGGAGTCAAAAAGGCAACAGAGCAGCTCTTCGGCCTGGGGAGAAGAGAAGGAAGGTGTTGGGGGAGAGCTGCGATTTCTCTGCATCGCAAAGAAACTTCTTTTCAGAGGTAGGTTTCTCGTGCGTGCTGCAGGCAGGCAGCATAGTGAGGACATTTACCAGGTTGAATTAATCCCGGCACACAGGTGGCTATGAGTGTCCCACAGCAGGGAAATGCCTGCTAGTTGTAACCATTGTTTGGCTGTTCTCAAGATTCACATTTTCAAGGAAATGAAGAAAACCAACAACATGCAAAGTGCTGAGCGGGAAATCTAACTCCCTCCCCCGGCTGCTCCGCCTCTCCTTCCCAAACCTCACTCCTGTGCAGCTCCATTGGCGTGGCTCCTTCAGAGATGGGGAGGCCAGCTTGGTGCCAAGGGCTTCAGGACCAGTCTGTAATTCTGACTCTGCTAGTGAACACCATGTTCCTCTAAAGCATTATACATGCTGTGCTGACAGTCTACCCCACGCAGCCCTTGGGGCCCTCCTCCTGCCAGCACTCTGCTTCTCCTCATAGGTTTTTAGGTCTCTTTTATAGGTCTCCAGCCCTTCTGCCTGCTGCTGAGAGGCTAAGGATCATGCCAAGAGTAGCTGGGATGTGTTTTCCCTGTGTTGCTCTGCTCCAGACCCAGGTTTCAGCTGTCTCTGCAGGGCGGGAGATGCTGGAGCAGCCATTGGCCTGCTGGCAACAGCTTCAGGGCTCCGGGCAGAGTGGAGGGATTAGCGCTGCCTGCCAGTGGAGGTTCAGCTGCATATCCGTGGGCTTTTACTGAGGAACGGCTGCGCAGAGACCGTGCCGTCTCCCTGCTCTGACCTGCTAATGTGGCAGGGCGGGGACACA